TAATCTGAGTGTTTCTGTAATCTGAGTGTTTCTGTAATCTGAGTGTTTCTGTAGATGACAGGAGTCAGACTTATTCTGGAGTCCTGAAGTGTAGAGAGAGAACAGAGCCACAGCTCGGTCCTCCAGTCTCTACCTGTGGTCTGTCATCAGGTGTCATGGATCCAGGTGAGGGTTGAGGCTCCACCTGAGTCTCCTGCTGTTCCTCACAGAGCAGATCAGGATGAATCGTGTTAAATGGGTCATTGATGACTGATGGTGAGTTTTCTCTGGTACCAGAACCAGGCAGGATGTCGTCCACAGCAACAGAACCTTCTGTTGTGTCGGGCTGAAGAGATGCTGCAGAATCCCACAGAACCGCTCTGCAGCTTCAGGTCTTCAGGACCGACACCTGGTTCTGGTTCTGATTCTAGTTCTGGTTCCATCTCTCCAACTGCCTCTTCAGGTCCAGAACCAGATCAGGAGGCAAACGGAGCAGCAGCTCCTGATCTGGTCAGAGTCAAACTAGTGGAAGCAGAAGATCCACAACTGAGGAGGAAGTTAGGAGATGAGAGGTTTGACAGGAAGCTGAGGGTCAGAGGAAGGAGGGATGATGATGATGATGATCCTGAACCTGTCTGAATGTCTTCAGCTCTTTTGCTCCTTCCAGGCTTCCGTCCATCTGATCCTCCTTTTGCTCACAGCCTGAGATCTTCTTCCTTCCTGATTCTCTGATTTGGTTCCTCTGCAGTTTCTCCTCCAGATTCTTGCTGTTCTTCTGTCTCTAATCTGGACTGCAGCTGCTTGTTTCCTCCTCAGCGACGCCCCGTCTCGTCCCTAAAGGCTCTTTGGTTCCTTCAGGTCCCTGCTGATCCAGGGTTTGTCATTCAGGAAGCGTCTCTCTGCTCTGGTGGCGATGCTGCCGTCCACAGAGCTTCATGTCAGTCATGGCTCTGATGTCGTCTCCATGAGGCTGGCACAGAGCGATGCGATCAGTTGCTTCACACCAGCCTGGAGGGCCTCTTCTGCTCCCTGTCACCATTTCCCAACAGGTCGTCTCTTCACCAGAGGTGTGTATTCAGAACAGAGAGGAACCAGTTCATAGTCTGATCTCCCCAGAGGAGGTTTTGGTTTGGAGACGTTTGCATCCTTGACATTAGCATAAAACAAATTCAGAATCTTGTTTTCCCAGGTGAAGCAGCCGACAAACTGATGAAAAGTTGGTATGATGATTAAAATCACCAGATATTGCCACAAATGCATTGGGGTGTTGTGTCTGTATCCTAGCAACATCAGACCTGACGTCATCAGGGCCCACGATGGGCCCACTCCCACCCGAGAAAACGTTGCTGCTGTATTTATCCTCCTGGTTGACCCGTAGCAGCAGATTTATGTTCCCATTTATGTTCCCAGTATTTAACCATCACTGTCAGTGGAAAAATCAAACCTCATTAAGCGGCGCTCGGAGTAAACAAGGCCTCTGGATCAGCTGAGGGTGAAATGCAAACAGCTGCCACAACAACACTGGTGAACGGAGATTCACTGCCAAGAGTTCAATGACTCACAGCTCAGGTTAGGTTCTGTTCGTTGTTAGCTCCTCTGCTCCGTGGTTCGACCCATTTGGACACAAGAACCTCTAACACCAGGGAATCGTCTCCGAACCGAACACACCGGATATTCTTTCTTATTTTGCTCTGGTTTGCTGCAAATCATCCGGCCAGATCCGGAATGAGGTTCTGATCTGACGGCGTCTCAACGGCCTAAACAAAGGGAAAGAAAAGAACGGTTCTGCTCTTCGGAACTGGTTTAAGTGTTTGTCTGCCTCACCTGTCCTCCTCTGCGTCATCAAACTGACCAGGGACGTTCGCGACCTGTTCCATGACGTCACAGCGGACAGAAACTCAAACCAGGTTCGATCTCACCGATCCTGACCAGAACCAACTCTTCCAGCACTCACCACCGCGTGCCTCATTTACTTCCGGGTTAGCGTGCGTCACTACGGCAACACGGTTGTGACGTATTTCCAAACGCGGATCAGATCCTAAGTTTCGGAAGAAACTGGCCGATTCTCGTGTTTGTCAGAGTGCAGGTGGTTCTGGTTCCGATCCAGATCTGAGTTCTTCTGGAACCAAAAACAACTTGCAGGTCTCCACTCCGGCCGGCAGGGGGCGCTGACTCACTGACAACATCTGAATAAACGGAACTTCTATAGCTGCTGATCCGAACCAGGAGGATCCGGTTTCATAAAGATGTGCGCGGACCTGAGCCGAACCCAGCGAAACCTGCTGGTCTGTGAGCGGTCCAGTTTCCTGGACGAAAAGAACCGCGTGAGTTCCCAGATGGAGCAGCTGCGCTTCAACTACAAGGTAAGACATACGCATGCGCCTAAACACGTGCTGAGGTTGTTTGGGTCGGAACCATTTGAGAGCAACATCAGACAGCGCAAGAACCCGAATCGAACAGTGAGTTCATCAGAACCCCCGGAATCCAAAACGTTAAATAAAGATCCGTTACTTCCGTTTCAACACCGGACCGAACCGGGTCTGCAGATCCACCTGCGGTCAGATCGAGCTCAGATGCTAGGAAAAGTATTCACGACTTCCCAGTAATAAATGTAAACATTATCATCATCCGAACCCAACAGAACCTTCTGGTTCCTCTGCTGAGGAGCAGGAGGGACGCGGACCGGTGTTCTGGACCGGACCGGGACCGGACTCTGATGTGACCCAGATCTAATTGACTCAGATAGATATGGGATCTAAACGGAACATCATGGCAGAACCAGCAGCAGCTGGACCGGGTCAGAACCCAGCAGAACCAGGTTCTTAAATTGGGTTTATCACAACCTTTCTGAGCCAGTCAGGTCTGGTTTATTGGACCAGAACTTTGGTTCTGATCGTCTGTCGTCCTGAAGCGTTACCTGCCCAGGTGAGACCAGCGGCTGTAGGTTGCAGCCTAGTTCTGGTTCTGCTGGACCTCTAACAGAACCAGAACCACTGGTTGGCTTCCTCTGACCCAGGTCGTACCGTGACCAAACACACTGTTACCATGACGACCAGGTACCTGCTAACTTGTGGGACAAACTGGGCCAGATCCTGACCCGATCACCAGAACAGATCCAGTTCTGCAGGAACACATTTTGCTGCCTGCTCTCACCTGTACAGGTATCCGTGCTGCTACCTGAGTATGACTCCGCCTCCTCTCACCTGGAGTCCATCCTGAACAGCTTCAGCAGCTTCTACCTGATCAAGCAGCTGCCATTATATGAGCTGCTGGACAAAGACTTCCTGCAGAGTGCCGTGTACCAAGGTAACGCACCTGTCTCACCTGTCATACCTCACACTCACCTGTCGTACGTCACCTATATCTGTCTCTAGGCAGCGTGTACGGTCTGTCCTTCAGAACTCGAATCGACGAGGACAACTGCGTCGCTCTGATGCCAAACGGTAAGCAGTGAGTTCAGGTGACATCACTTCCTGGTTACCTGTCCAGAGCCAAGTGTGTGTGTGTGTGTGTTCAGGTCACCTGGTGTTTTCTTTGGATAAGGACGCCTTCGAGACGCTGGGCCTTGAGGGCCGACCTTCCAGATCCAACAGAACCAGCAGCAGATACGGTATCGGTTATGGTTCTGATTCTGGGTCGTTCTCAGTCCAGAACGGGTTGTTTACCTGTGGGTACCTGTGCAGAGGTCACGGTGGACCTGAGGGATGGCAGCATGGCCCCTGGTGGGCGGGGCTACCTGAGGCTCCGCCGAGCTCTGATGTCACACCTGAAGCTGCAGATGGACTTCCTGATCTCGCATCATCCGGGTGAGTGACGCAATCGCCATCGACCTCTGGCCCCTCGGGTCCCATCTCGGCTGATCGCCCTCTGTCCGGCAGGGGGCGGGGCCTCGCTGCGGCCCCTCCTATCTCGCTGCGATTGGTTGGAACGCAGACCGGAGGTCAGCCGGCACGGCCTGAGCCGCCTGGTCCGCCCTGCCCTGCGGTCGTGTGACCCCCACGACCTCTTGGAGTGGATCGGCGCCGTGGACGCCGCTGTCAGCCTGTGAGACTCGCTGCCATTTGAGGCTCTGAGGGGTCATGACCGGGAGTCACTCTTCTTCTGTGTTTACAGTGAGAATTCATCCAATGACTTCCTGTCTACGCTCACTTGTCTGGAACCGGAGGCGACTGTCAGCCGGGCGATGAGCATGTCGGCCTGTGGCCTGTTGCTGCCACAGGACCTGCAGCACCTAGTGGAGGAGCTGAGGTCAGCACACAGACACACACAACTCACCTCACCTCACCTGAGCACCCTGTGACTCACCTGTCCTCCAGGTGTTACCTGCAGCAGGCCCAGACGGACTCCTGGGCTTCTGTGACAGTTCATGGCTTCACCGACAGTCCGGTGTCCTGGGGCGACGGCGGACGCGACATCCTGACCGGAGGTCACGACCTCTACAACTTGCTGATGTTCCCCGACCACACATACCGCCTACACCTGGCCGCTGGGGCACAGAAGACCTGCCCGCCCTGATGGACTTCCCTGCCCGCCCTGATGGACTTCCCTGCCCGCCCTGATGGACTTCCCTGCCTCCTCCAACGTCTACCAGGGCTTCAGATGGGGCAGGTCCCTAACCTCCCAGATTCTGATGGGTTGGTTCTGATCTGTACTGGAACCAACTGGTTCAGGATCTGAGGTTGGCCACGATTTACTGGGAAAAGAACAGTGGACTCGTGTTCTGAACTGTTGGGTTCCCTTAGGACATCAGTGTTTGTGTCATCTGCAGCTCTTTAAATAAATGTATCTAAGTTCTGGTGCTTTGTGTCTATCATCATGGAAAGGGGTCTCCCAACCTGGTCCTCAGGGGCTCTGTCCTGGCGGTTCCCTTCTGTTGAAGCTCCCAAGTCCACAGAAAGGGGCGGGACGGACCGCTGTCAGTCTCATACCTCGTGGAAAGGGGACCATGGACCTCACCACAGGGGCCGCGTTTCATTGGCTAACGCCCATTTCACGTCACAGCGCAGCTACCACGTGCGTGACCGCAGAAGTGAAAGGGGTGCTATTTCCCATAGACATAATATAAGCATAGACGCCTCATGGACCGCTCCGGCGCAGGAAATACGGCGGCCATCTT